AGCGATGGCCTCCAACCTAAGAGCGATGGCCTCCAACCTAAGAGCGATGGCCTCCAACCTAAGAGCGATGGCCTCCAACCTAGATGCGATGGCCTCCAACCTAGTAGCGATGGCCTCCAAGCTAGTAGGGATGGCCTCCAACCTAAGAGCGATGGCCTCCAACCTAAGAGCGATGGCCTCCAACCTAGATGCGATGGCCTCCAACCTAGTAGCGATAACCTCCGACCCAAGAGCGATGGCCTCCAACCTAGTAGGGATGGCCTCCAACCTAATAGTGATGGCCTCCAACCTAATTGCGAGCGGTTTACTGTTGGGTTCTCTTAGGAAGAAATGGCTGGCCACGATTGCCGTGGCTGCGCTGTCAGCCCTTTCTTCACAGCCTTGTTTGGGCCTTGTCCAGGCTTTGTCCTTTGTCCGGTTTGTTTGTCTTGCTTCAGGCCGGTCTGTGTGTTGCTTGGCCGCACACCGGGCCTTGTCCAAGCCTGGTCCGGATTTGTGTGTCCTGCTTGGCCGCGCCACGCGCCCTGTTTTCTCCGCCTTGGTCCGGGCCTTGTCCGGGCCTTGTCCAGGTGTTTTCTATCAATCCAACGATGCAGAACGGGACATCATCCTCGATTGTTTGTTTTGCTGTTCCCAAACAGCTGGAGGCTATAGGAATATATTTGCAGACGTTTTGGATTTCAAGGAATTGACGCAACAAAAATCCTGCTGAAACTGTTTGGGGTCTAAGCCCGTCATATTTGTCGATGACGGACGCAGACATTCTCATACAAGACAAGTATTAAAATGGATTGAACGGTTTTTGTTTGCAAGGCGCAGCTGACTGAGGAGGATCGACAGTGGATTCAGGAGATGTGGGGTTTGTTTAGTGCATTGATTGTTTAGTAGATAGAGCTTGTCAATCTTGAAATCAGTTTGCCATCACTTGATCCAAGGAAAGAATCAACAAACAGTTACTCAACTACCTTCCTTGTTCCTGAGGGCGCCGAAAATGCCCGAGCCAGAGCAGCAAGGGCAAGGACTGCTTCATTTCTTTGGCCCATTTGCTGCAGTTCTTTTTTCCCCTTGCGCACAAGGGGATGCCCAAGCTCACTCAAGAATGTTGGGAGTTTCATGTGTTGCAGACCTTATCAAGGGTTCAACGTTGCGCACTCCGAAAAGTGCGCTTCAAGAGAAGGCCAAGGATCAACACCTCGCAAATCTTGGCCGAAGAGCCCTAATGTTGGCGCTCCTATTTTAGTGCATATCACCAGGCCTTGTGGAAGTCAAGACATGCATGGCTTTGCTTGGGGAGGACAGCGATGCAAAAGCGAAGCGAGGAGGCAACCAGGGTTAGTTGGGGTGTTTGCTGCCTGTACGGCCTTGAAGTCACGCGCCTCTTTATTCATGCTTTGAACAGGCCTACGACAAGCAGAAGCAACAGCTCTTTGTTTTTGTGGCTGACTCGGTTTTCCGGACATTTGTGTTATGGTGATGCCTTCAGCTTGAGACTCTTGGAACATGCCTGGGCCGCAAAGGAGCTCGTTCCAGCCGTTTCACAGCGAATACAGTATCCTTCAATGAGAATCCGCATGAACCAAACCGATGTGAAAATCCTGTGAATGTCAATGTTTTGTTCAAGAGATATTATGCAAGATTGCAAACACCAAGGGGTCACCCTCGGAAACCTCCAAGATCTCCAAGGCAAGGACAGTTGAATGTCGGAGGGGTACGGGCGGGAAGTACGGCGCCGAGAGGTAGACCCCCGCCTCGCTGGTGTCTAGGTCTAGGCGAATGAATTGATGTCCCATCAAGATTGCTTGTGTTTTGCTTCTGAACTCAAGCAAGGTGGGTGAAGAGGCTGAGTGATCTAGCCGATTCCAAGCGCAGTGAGTTTTTTCGTGTCTTCATCTCAGGTTTCCGCTGAATGTCCATGATCCATCCTTGCGAACGTCCATTTAAAGTTGCTTCTGGTATCTTCTGGTGATAGTTTCTTGGACCTGATATGAAACTCCAAATTCGATTTGCACTATATAGTTTTTTGATGCAGTGGAACTGCTTTGGTACATTTAGAAGCCCCGGTCGGGGACTTCCTTGAAAATGCCATGCCGAAGGGCATATGGCCAATGGCACGTTTCGCGGAGCTGCCCGCACTGAATTCGGCTCCAACGGTTGCCTGCATGTCAAGCCGAGTCAAGCCAAAGAGGCGTGAGGATTTTTCAGCACCAGTGTACAGGGTTTGCTTCACGTCATATACAGTAGATTATTTGGATTAAACTCGCGGGCACTTATTTATGCCGTATGCCTACTACTAAATGGCTCCAGCTTGAGTCAAACCAAGATATCTGAGGACTGCAGTGTAATACGAGAACCTACATAACAAATAGAAGACCCACCATTTCTCAAAGGACATTTGCCCGTCCGACTTGAAAAGAAACACAACTTCTTTGATCAGTACTAACTCTAGAATGTGGCAGCCAGGGAACTCACAGAAGATCACACTTGCTTCCAATGAGTATCCATGAGACCCACAACTTACGCTCCTGTCTGCTTTCCCAACTTCAATTCGAGTGAGCTGTTCGGCAAAGAAATGGCGCTGCCTCCGAACTGGACCAAGTGCGCCAGTGAGACAGCGAGATGCGATGCTTTCCTTTCCATCCTTTTCCCAGTGGTTCAACTTTTCTATTTATCATTATCTTATTATTATATACTATTATTGTTATTGTTATTCGTTTAATCCATATATATTATATATTATATATATATTTGTTTAATCTATATATTTATTTGTTTATTATTGTTATTTGTTTTTTTAGACTTACTTTTCATGCTTTATTCGATCATTGTTGTTCCTTCCGGTACCCTTGTCGCACGCTGGGTAGCAAATCCCAGTGGTATGGCGACACAAAGGCCCTTTGACACATTATATATTTATATACATATGTATTTACTTACAGGGGACCGTCCGTTTTGCCTCATGCGATGGCCAAACGCATTTTCCGTGGTATTTACAGGAGATCGTGGGTGTTCTCTCAGCAGGTAACTCTATGTGTCGGGTAATTATGTGGGGTGATTCGGGGTGAGTGGGCTGGTGGGGGAGGTAACCACAATCAGTTGACGCGCTACGCCAGGACTATCCTTCCTGCGGTAAGAACAATTGCTTCACGCGCTGCGACAGTGGTATGCTTCGCTTCTAAGAACGATCGGTTCATGTGCTGCGCCAATGCTATGCTTTCTGCGACGCGAGGGCGATGTTCTGAGCTTGGGGGCAAAGGTGCGGTACCGAAGGAACTAGTCATGGCCTCCAACCTAATAGTATAAGGAATCTAAGAGCGATGGCCTCCAACCTAATGAGGATACTTGGTACAGTTGAATGAATCGGAGATGTCAGTCACCGGAACGTTGTGGTTCCACTCTTAAAAGACTATGCCCAGTGGTTCGACTTCGCAGTTAACCTCGCAGCAATGGAAATCGCATTGGACTAGCAGGACTGGACCATCTGAAAACAAACGGCACCATTTGCAGGATTGATTGCCTTCTCAGGTATGACCAAAATGAGCCAGTTCATTCAAGAGACACTGTGTTTTTCCCACACATCTTGGGACACTCATGTGGAGGTACACTACAGATGATGGCAAGGAGTGCCCACCACCATTGTTGCCAGTGTTTGGAAGACGTCGGTTGGGAAACCAGGGTTTGTCGGCTTGTCCAGCTGTTTGATCTGAATGACGGCTGGTGTCACAGGCTGGTGTCCCCTGTTGTGCTCAGGGTGTTGTGAGAGGTTTTGGTGCATGGCCAGAAACATGGGACGGCCTCCATTGTTCGGGCGATCAGAGTTGTTAGTCTTTGAGCATACCCACAGGATGACCACTCCCGTTGATTTGGCAGTTTCAGCAATTGGGAGAGCGAGATCCCGCTTGGTAACTTTGGTTCTGGAGCTGGGCCAAAGCCTCCAAGAAATCTTGTTCTCATGAGGCAGATCTAATGCCAAATGAGGTACTATCACAACTCGGTTGCAAACAAGACCCAGTGTGTGGCTCAGAAGAGACCTTCTTCTTTTCGTTTCTATTCCATGACCTTAGTCATGGTCAGCAGTCTCACTAAGTTTTAAGTGCCACCCATGGGCCCAATGGGTGTCTTGGGCAAAAGAGAACTTCTTGGTATCACTGGACGTTATTCTGCCTCTGACATACGCAGTTGCTGGAAAAGACGCCCATCCTCAGTGTTTCGTGTCCCTTGAGGTGGGAGAAACCTGATTGGCAGGAGAGCTCAGTGTGTGGTGTCATTACCTCATTCGTAGCATAGCATCGATCCCCATGGAGTTCACGGAAGATCCCACGTTGGAGCGTCCTTGCTCCTAGTAGTAAAGCCAGGAGCCCCTATTAGCGTTCTCGTTGGAGTTTGAGCTCTCACTTGGTATAAATTTGTATAAATGTATTTCTTGCTCCTATTAGCGATATGTAGCGATGCCCTTTGCTCCTAGTAGCGTCCTTGCTCCTAGTAGCGATGCCAGGAGCCCCGCTCGTAGCGTCCTTTGTTTAAATGTATTTCTTGTAGATTCACCGGATTTCACACCCTTTTGACGACATCCAACGCCATTGATCGGGGTCTTACACCCGACGGACCGACGCTTTAGCGTCGACCCGTCTCCACGAGGTCCGAAGGTCCGGAGTCTGGGTCGTTTCACAGCCAGAGCTCGGAAGTGTGCGCAGTGAGTCTGCCGTACGGTCTTGGTTTTTACTTATGACTCAGACGACTCGACATGTATTTTTGCTTGACCTACCAGGTATCGCCCCACTGTGTCGGATCTGGACTTGCAGGAGAGGGCAACAGGCCAGTTGGCTCAGTTGACCCAAGTTAGCACCGGTTGGTTCACTGAGCATCCGTTTTTACATGAGTCATGTCACGCATTTGATGCAACCGTTCTTTCAGCCTGAGATTCATGCACCTGCCAACCGTTCCTCCGGATTCACGGTGCCTCTGAGGCACTGCTCAGATGGTACCGCTGAGTGGGGAGGAGGCGAAGCTTCGTCGGCCGACTGTACAGACTGAAGAGTAGGCGTGACATGAGTCACGGAGCGCATGGGCAGCTGTTTTCCACAGCTTCAATAGCCTTTCTTATTTTTCTTGTCTTATGTGGTCAATGATTAACAACTAATAGCATATATATATATATATATTCCCCAAACAGTGTGGACACACTAGGGGTTCTTACGGTAGTGGAAAAGCAGCTGTGCTTAGATCGCTGTCCCGCGCGGCCGTGTCCGGCTAATTCGTTGCTTTTATCGACTGCGCAGGCTCGCAAAGTCTGGGTGCCCCGGGCGGGTGCTTCTAGCGACTGCGCTCTCGTTGTGGTGCCGTGCGCATTTTCGTACATGGTGGTCACTTTTCGTGGCAGGCGCAAGGGAACCTCGTGTTGTGGTGCTTCAAAGTCGACTTTTCGTGACAGGTGCAAGGGATCGGAGCTGTTTTACTTCGAAGTGCAGTTTTCGTGGCAGGCGCAGCACTTTGGGCATGGCGGTGATCGTCGAGGAGCTCAGATTTCGTGACAGGTGCAGTGAATCGTGACTTTTGGACATGTGGCTCGTTTGCAGATTTTGTGGCAGGCACAGCACCCTGTGACCCTCGATGTGCAGATTCTCGAAGTGCAGATTTCGTGGCAGGTACAGCGCTTGGTGAACCTCGATGTGCAGCTTTCGTGGCAGGCACAGCACTTGGTGAACCTCGAAGTGCAGATTTCTTGGCAGGCACAGCACTTTGTGTGCAGATTTCGTGGCAGGCACAGCATTTGGTGAACCTCGAAGTGCAGATTTCGTGGCAGGCGCAGCACTTTGTGAACCTCCAAGTGCAGATTTCGTGACAGGCACAGTGCTTGGTGAACCTCGAAGTGCAGATTTCGTGGCCGGCGCAGCTCTCAGATGCTCACTCTCTCACTCCCACTCTCACTCTCCCACTTTCACTTTCACACTCGCACTCCCTCACACTCTCACTCTCACCCACACTCACTAACCCACACTCACTCTCACTCACACTCACTGACTCTCACTGTCACCCACACTCACTCGCGCCCACCTTCACTCTCACTCACGCTCACGTATATGCGTCGATGCAACGTCAACCTTAGTCGCGCAAGTACAACGCTGAAGAGGTTCAACTAGAACTGAAGAACGTACATTTCACACTGAAGTTTCCACGAACAGGGCGACCTGAGAGTAAACGACGTCACGATCATGACAAGCGACTCGTGTATTCCAAGCGAACATCGTTTGTCACGAAGGTGAAGTACACACATACTAACGTCACGATGACTCTTTTGTGGCAGCCACTTATGAGTAAGCAAAGTAGCTAAAATTTGTCAACCTCTCAAGAGAGCCGGGTGGTCGGGAGACATGACTCAGCTGCAGGGGCGCCAGAGCAGCCGCGAGAGATGACGCAGCCACGAGAGATGACTCATCCGCGTACTCAAGTTGTACTACAAAGTCCTCAGTTATCAGCTGCCAGCTCCACAGCTTGCTCCGCATACTATAGTTGTACTACAAAGTCGCCAGTTCTCATCTTCCAGCTCCCCAGATACTCCGCGTACTAAAGTTGTACTAGAAAGTCGCCAGTTCTCATCTTCCAGCTCCCCAGATACTCCGCGTACTCAAGTTGTACTACAAAGTCGTCAGTTCTCAGCTTCCAACTCCACAGCTTGCTCCGCGTACTAAAGTTGTACAAGAAAGTCGCCAGTTCTCATCTTCCAGCTCCCCAGATACTCCGCGTACTAAAGTTGTACTAGAAAGTCGCCAGTTCTCATCTTCCAGCTCTTAAAGTTGTACTACAAAGTCGTCAGTTCTCAGCTTCCAGCTCCACAGCTTGCTCCGCGTACTACAGTTGTACTAGTTGTACTACAAAGTCGCCAGTTCTCAGCTTCCAGCTCCACAGATTGCTCCGCGTACTAAAGTTGTACAAGAAAGTCGCCAGTTCTCAGCTTCCAGCTCCACAGATTGCTCCGCGCACTAAAGTTGTACTACAAAGTCGCCAGTTCTCAGCTTCCAGCTCCACAGATGCTCCGCGTACTAAAGTTGTACTACAAAGTCGCCAGTTCTCAGCTTCCAGCTCCAGATTGCTCCGCGTACTAAAGTTATACTACAAAGTCGCCAGTTCTCATCTTCCAGCTCCCCAGATACTCCGCGTACTAGAGTTGTACTAGAAAGGCGCCAGTTCTCATCTTCCAGCTCCCCAATCGCACTCTCGCCTGCATGCACTCGACGCGCACGATCTCCGCAGAGGGTTGCGCCGGACCGGGGCAAATCGCACTCTCGCCTGCATTTCGCGCACTCGACGCGCGCGATCTCCGCAGAGGGTTGCGCCGGAGCGGGTCAAATCGCACTCTCGTCTGCATTTCGCGCACTCGACGCGCACGATCTCCGCAGAGGGCTGCGCCGGACAAAACCTCGCCTGCGTTTCCCGCGCTCGACACGCACGATCTCCGCAGAGGGTTGCGCCGGACAAAACCAAATCGCACTCTCGCTTGCATTTCGCGGACTCGACGCGCGCGATCTCCGCAGAGGGTTGCGCCGGACCGGGACAAATCGCACTCTCGCCTGCATTTCGCGCACTCGACGCGCACGATCTCCGCAGAGGGTTGCGCCGGACAAAACCTCGCCTGCGTTTCGCGCACTCGACACGCACGATCTCCGCAGAGGGTTGCGCCGGACCGGGACAAATCGCACTCTCGCCCGCATTTCGCGCGCCCAACACGCACGATCTCCGCAGAGGGTTGCATTTCGTGGCGGTCCGGCGGCACTGCCCCCGGCCTTAAGAGAGAAAGTTAAGAAGAGCGAGAGGTGAAGATGTGAGCTGTAGATGTGAGGATGTGAAGATGAGCAGAGATGTAGATGTGCAGATGTGAACATGAGCAGAGATGTAGATATGTGAAGATGAAGATGAGCAGAGATGTAGATGTGCAGATGTGAACATGAGCAGAGATATAGGTGAGAATGTGGATGTGCAGAGGTGAAGATGTGAAGATGATACGTCGTTCTGCAGATGTTTTTTTACGAAGAACCCTTCGCAGACGCTCTTGGGAAAAAGAGGCGCCCAAAAGATGGTGAACGTGTATGTTTTTTAGGGTCTTAGTGATGCGAGTGATGCAAATGATGTTGAGTAGCGCATCATTAGCATCACAAAGTGCTCAGGAGACTATTAAAGCGCACCGCACTGTTTTCAGAATGATAGGAAGCGAAAGGAGCGCTGGACTTTCATTGTTCGAGTAGCCGACTTCAAATCACTGACTGCTGTCACGGTGCTTGACCAAGCTTTTAAAGAAGAAAGGTTGAACGGAGTAGTCCTTGGTATAGGTACCACAGTTTAAGGATAATGTTCGGGGTGCCCTTTTAAGCGTGAAAAGGGCCCTAGGCCGAAGGAAAAGGGCATCCCCTAGAATTGCAAATGTCAGAGCGTGTGATCCAAGTCTATCCCATGACCAGTCACAGTGGATGGGGCTTAGATCGAGCCTCAACTTGAAACTTTGCATATCTTTGCCTTCTGTCTTCCCGTGTTTTTTACGAAAAAGTAAGTGCAGCTTCGACTTTACAATAATACATTATTGACTTCTCAATCCTTACAGGTATACAGGTATACACATATATATATATATACATACAATCTTTAGGTTGTGTGTTGACTTTCCAACTGCAGGCTTCGAATCACATGTGCGGTCTCGCTCCGCATCCGACCTAAGTATCACTGGATGAACTGCTCCACATATCATGTGATGCAAGAAAATCGCGCGAGGCGCGGGGTGGAAAGCTGGCCACAGAGGCACGCGAATTGGGAGAGGGTGAGGAAGAGGGAAAAAGAGGGCCGAAGACAGACATTGAAGGCCCAATGGCATCCGTCCTTCAGCAACCGTGTTTGAAGAGTTGATACACAGAAGATGTGCATGACATGTGTGGTAGACAAGTATGGGATACCGTGAGAGATTTCCGGGAGCACATTGAAGGTTCACGCTGCATTCGCCATTGAACTGCAATGTTCCTTAGAAAAAAGACACTTTCACAGTTGAGGACGCCCAAAGACAGGATTTGAACAGAACTTACGAACATGCCCAAATGACATCCCGATATTTTGACATGCTCTAGCCTTTTTGCACACGCGAATCGAAGAATGCCAGGCAGATACCGTCTCCCTTAGCCTGGAACCTGAGACAAGTACCGTAAAGTACTATGGAGAACCAGTTTGAAAATTCTGGTTGACGCTGAAAGCTAAGAGCAGTCGTTTAGCCGATGTTGTTTCTTTTTACCTTTACCAGGTTTCGATGTTTCCTCTAGACCTCTTACTTGCTGCAGTGTAACTATTTGCTAGCAATGGGGATCTTCAACAGAATAGCTTAGAATTTGCTCCGAGTACAAAGCATTGCCTGTCTCCTCCAGTCTTGATTCCTCTTGAGTATATATGCAGCTTGAAGTCTCACAACGTTGATGTTCAACCTCAAAATATGTGGATCTCTCCGAGGGGAAGCTCCTCGTGGTGTTATGGACAGTGCTGGTGGGGGCCCTCCACCAGGCGCAATCATGGGAGTCTTCCAGTTTGTTTTGAGGCGTGAGGGGTATTGTCTGCCACCTCGTGCAGCTTTTCAGTAGAACACATGAACATACGCCGAGGGTGTTTGGTCTAAATTCTTTGTGGTCCAGCAACAAAAGAACATACGCCTTTGAGGTATCCCGACACCAGGCTCCTGTACGAGTCTAAAGAGTGGTACGAGTCTTCACCTTGTTTTCACTCCCAGCAACCCATTTCAGACCCCCTTCCCCCAAAGGGAGAAGACAAAGCCAGCTACAGGTCCCCAAAGCCAGGGCTCCTTCCTTGGGTTTGGCAGCAGCTTGGATGCATGGCTGAAACCAAGTTGGAGCTACGAGCAGTCCCTTTTTGTATCTCTTTGATTGCCCAAGAGCGATGGCCTCCAACCTAATAGCGATGGCCTCCAACCTAAGAGCGATGGCTGGTTTCTAACCTAAGAGCGATGGCCTCCAACCTGCCAAAAGCAAACTCTCACTTTCAAAGGCATGCTGTTACAAAGCTGGGATGTCCGCTGGATTGACTCGCCCAGGTATGCTTGCTTCTGCTGCAGCTGGCTCAGAGGCCTGACCATGGTCATTTGAGCGACATTCCTGAGAGGACACTGTGTAACAGATGTGAAACGTTCCTGCATGGACTTTTGCTCCACAATCACGAACGGCTTTCCTTCACGAACGGCGTTTCTTTGGTGGTAGCAGTCGCAGTTGCTACCAGCACTGATGACAAGTAATTGCTGACAGCACTTGCTATATATAGAGAAGTCAAGCCAGTGCCAGCAGCTCTTACGACAAGAGCTCTGTGCAGCCAACCTGCGTGGCGTTTGCCCTTACTGGACCGTGACATGTGATAAGTAAGAAGCCCAAACAAAGCAGGTGCTGAAATGAATGCTACAATACGAGATGGCACGACAGCTTTTGCACTCGGCAGCTGGGAACGGTCACTTGGAAGTGGTGCAACGCTAGGAAGTGGAGGTGCTTGCTGAAAAGAACCATGATTCGCTTGGTTTGGCGTTGCGGAAGCCTGCATACTTCAGCACCCAGACTATCGCCAGATTGGACGATCAGGGAACCACATAGGTGGAGTCCAGTGTTTCCCGTGTGTGAAACCGACATGTGCAGGAAGGGGCAGCTGGAGTACAGGGATGGGCAGGCGTGGCACATGGATTGCATGGGATTACCAAGCTTCATCCTCGATACACTTCGACGCCTCAATACTTTACTTTGTCCCAAGTTTTTGCATCTTTTGTATTGGATTTTGTTTGCTGATATACTTGACGCTTCAAGCATACGCTGAACTGAGCGACACATGGGACAGGCTCTATGCTTGCCTACGGGCAGCAGTTGTTTGATGTTAGCCAGGGCCCCAAAGGTAGTTGTTGACCAGCAATTGAATCGTGATTCCACGTTGCTTCTCATGTTTAATAGGTGCATCTATTCTATCTTCAGATTCAGATACAGGGGATTTCACAACTTGGGAGTATGATATTTTGGGTTTTCATGTCTACTTCACCGGTCTTGCTGGCCATGAACCAACAGCAAGTTTATCAGACAGCCAAACAGGTCGACTGACAGGCTTACGCCATTAGGTTCAGAAGATGTCCTCAAGCGGCTGAAGCTTGCTTTGGTACCCTTCCAGGCAGCGGTCTCAGTTTTGTCTAAAGGTGACATGCTGCTGCAGAACTGGCTCTCACTTCCTTGTAAATTTGATTTTTTGGTGTGCTTTTTTCAATGTACTTTCCAACTACTACATATTCAGGGGCAAGAGGACGCGGCCAATGACTTCCGCACAAGGCTGGCCTCGTGTTTTAACCATGGTGGTGTTGTGAAGAGAACTGGCAGGGGATTGACAGACCCATTCAAGAGAGGAAAAATGTACCTGGTCAATGGTCAGAGTGACAGTTCAAGGGAACTAGCCAAGAACTCCTAAGACTAAGAATGAGAAATGAACAATGGTGACTACTTATCGGTTCGTGACATGCCGCCTGCATGGGTAGTTATGCAAAGTCTATGCTTTTGAAGTTTCTTAGTGATACAGTGATACACATATCATATCATATACAGTACATTTATTCCCTCTCTCTCTCTCTCTAAAGCCCATTTATTAGCACTGTGCACACTGGCGAGGCCTGACTTCTATGGGCCTTTCTGGGTGGCCACTACAGCCGTCCTTTTTCTTGCGGAACTCGCCTTAAATGGATTTGGTACAGAGTTATGTTGTATATACAGCAGACGTCACTTGCTTGAAGCATGATAACTATGTATGTGACGTCCAACAGCTTCGGGCTGGTTACATGCAGACTTCGGCTGTCAGGCCACTGGCAACTTTGCGAGGCTTCTGGAGTTGGAGGACCTACCGCGCCGGGCCGCGCTGGGCCTCGCCGCTCGATGCACGAGTAGCTCGACCCGCTCGATGAGTCAGGATGAGCAGCTCTTCAAGTCAGACTTCTCGCTGGTCAGTGTGGCCGGATGTCCCATCTCGCGTGCCCGATGTCGGAGGGGAGGTGATGGGAGTCTGGAAGGTCTTGGCGTTTCAGAGGATGGGATTGAGTTCATTTCGTCACAATTTGAAAAGCAATTTGAGTGTTTGGATGGTTCCCCAAATTGGCCAGTGGAAACCATGCACAAGGCCGCCAGCATGATCTATGGCCTACTTGTCGCTGTGCCGCTGGCTGCCCGCTTGGGCCTCTATTGCTCGGGCCAGTCGGTGGATTGCATTAACTTCAAACAGGCCCGGACCATAGCCCCTAGTAGCGTCCTTGTTCCTAGCAGCTCTTGATTGGCATGCGGCCTGGGAAGGTGATTTGTGTGTTCGGCTATTCGCTCACGCCGCTCATACCAATGTCTGTGATTTGCCTGGTGCCGCCGTTTCCTCAGATTGCCGCAGCAAGGAATCGCCGAAGACGTGGTCAGGATTATAACGTATTCTAATATATTTTAACTAATGTAGACTCTTGATTAATACACCCCCCATATGAAGAGGACTTTCAATTCAAATGGCTGGGGCTATTAATCAAGAGTCTACAGTATAGTACCTGAGCACCTTTGCAATAGCAACATTACCTAGATTTTAATGCTAGGAACGTGTGGTTTTCTCATTGGGAGCCAGAGCTGCTGTTATTTGCAACCTGGTGTTGAGGATGGGATTCCTTCGCTGGTTGGCCGTGTGTGTGGGTTTAGTCACGTCCCTTGCCTTTATCTATGGCACACTGTCAACAGACTTGGCTGTGGAGGCAAAGGATACCAAGGGAACATGGCGAGACTGAAATCATGCAAGAGATTGCAAGAGTAGGCACAGATTCATTTTGTTAGTTCCGAAGTGGAAGTCCTTGGTGCGGCAGGGAAGATCAGGGAAGAATTTTCAATGACCACTGGCACACACACACACAAACCTTAGGAGCAAATCCCACACATGTGCTTTCATGTCCAGCGCGGCGTTTGGCAGGCGCCCTCATTGAAGTGGAAGGTCTTGGGCCTCTTCTGCTGCGCACATGAAGCTCGGCGAGCAAATATAAGCAATGTTTGCGTGGCACTCCCACCTGTTTGAACATCGTGCATGTTTGTGCACCCACATTGCTTTAATATTTCGATGCGATGCTTGCCATCCCAGGTCGCAGACATGCACACGCTTGATTTTCAGTGTATTTCCAGCAAAATATTCGGAATTCCTCGTATTGGCTGCATGAGTCACAAGCATGTCCGCTGCATGAGTCGGATCCCCAAGCAACAGCGTCCATTAACGTTTGTCCAAGTGCTTCATTTGTAGATGTCCGCATGTCTAACAGAGTCTAAGAGCTCGTGACACTGTAGCAAGGGACCGAGGGAGACAAAACCACCAGCTTTTCCAATTGGGAGAGGCCACCGATGTGAAAGATAGTACCAGGTGTACCAGTTACATCAACCAGAGTGGTCTCACCCAGCCATCAGGTGGGGGCGTGGAGGAAGGGGATTTGGTTGAGGCCATCATCTTCATGACGTACCGCATCTACTTCTTTCATTCGATCTGACGCGGAAGAAGCGCGTGGAGAAAAGACGTCTTCCAAGCGAATCCTGTGCAGGTTCAACAGTCAATACAATAGATTTCAATTTTTTATCTTTGCAACAGCAAGTGTTACGGTCAATTTTCACAGATTATTCGATTATTCCTTCGATTTGCCTCATACCAGTAACATGCAGTGAATGTGGAGTTTGGCATGAAAGGGCATGGTCCAGTGTCGGACCTGTGGGACCTATGTTCATAGAGCTTCACAGTGGGAGGCTCAGAGGCCAAAAGCCCAATTCAAGAGCACTTCCTGATTCTTGTGACTCGCCAGCCATGAACATTGGATTGGCGGTCCCCATGGCCTTGAAGCCTGAAGCTTGGATTTTGTGGTCCCAGTGGAACAGGTTCTCTTTTTCTCATTCAAAAGTGTTGAAATTCCTCTCACCCCTATGGACCCCGTAGCGTGGACTCTCAAGGTAGAGTAAAATAGCCCGCTTAACGGCTAGGCAGGGTTAGCTAGATAGCTAGGGAAGTTAGAGCTGATCCTGTAAAATACAGGTTATCAGCCGTAGGCTAGCAAGTTTAGAGCTATGGACCCGATGGATGACGACACCGCACCGAACTCGTACGGAAATGGCTTTGACATTATTCCGAGTGTACCCAATAGTGTGGACGCAGTTCAGCGACATGAAAGGGCTGTCGCACAGGCTGAATTTGCAGCGAAGAGCTCAACTACAAGAACACAATGTGCAACAGTTGGCTCAACATCAAGATAATTTGGCGATCAGAAGACTGCAAACCACACTTGAAGAACAACGTGAGCACTTTCAGCAAAGACTAGCCCAGGCCACGTCTGCCAATAATGGGATTCAGCAGGAAAAGGGTACCTCGGAGGAGGAAACCAACGCTTTTGTCGAGAGGATGCGAACTGAACATCAGCAATACACGCAACAACAAGAAGCAAAGTTGAAGGCAGCAATAGAGGCAACAGATAAAGCTCGATTCAATTCAGCTGAGGAAGCCCGTGTTGCTATAGACCTTGACTTCAAGCGTGAGGAGTTATCCAGTTCATTGGCAATTGCGCAAGCAAAGATTAAATCATTGCTTGGTGAAATGGAGGCGACTAAGTCGCAACATGCGGTTGACCGCGAAGCCCAGGAGGAAACAATCAGTGAACTCCGCAAGGACAATGTAGCATTGAAGGGTGAAATGGATGAACTTAGACGTGTTGTTCAGGCCTTGTCGGACAAGGAGGAGGAGCGCAAGGAAGCCGAGCGCAAAGTTCAGGCCGCTAGCCCAGTTAAACCAGGGCCACAGCAACCAGAACAACCTCCACCTCCTGTTCAACCGAATGTTCATCCCGTTGGTCAACCTTGTTCCTTTGAACCTCTTCGTACAGAAGGTACAGTTCCTGCAACCTTAGAAGGTTCGACCACAGACCCAGCCGGAATTCCTATGAAGACAGCGATGGATGCTTCTGCAACAAATCGCAACACAGGATTTCCTTCAATGTTCTCTGGGACAGGGGCGAAGGCAAATGAACAAGCAACAGCCTCAACTGATGGGCAACAGTTCAAACAACCTGATCCGTGGATGGATTACAAGATGAAGTCGGCACTGTACAACTTCAGCGATGATCCACTGTACAAAAGCTCCTTTAACCAGGAAGCAGCACAGAAAAAGGATGATCGCAAGGATGAAGGGCCGGCATCTCAGGTAAGAACCCCACAAGATCAGGATTTAGGGGAAATCATCAAAAGGGCATTGCTAGAGGGGTTTAAGGGCGCTAAAAGCAAAGATTCCGATAAACCCAAGGCAAAAGAGGCCGATAAGATAGATCTCCCTGAATTCCCGAGTCCTGATAGGTACCGCACTTGGAGGGCCGCTGTTCGCGAAGCGATACGGTCCGCGTCCGATGACCCAGATGCTGCGTTCGCATGGGTGCTTGAGGTGTACGCCGTTCGGGAGGACAAAGCAAAGCTTTGTTCCGAACTCGCTGAGCCAGGCAAGTTTCGGACCTTAGATACGAAACTCCTTGCTGCTTTGACTAAGGTTGCCAAAGGCGAACTGTCTCAGCAAATCCTAAATTATAAGGAATCTGAGGCACAGCAGGGTAGGATTGTTCGTGGTCGTCAGGTTTTGCTCATGTTTGAAGTCCACTTCAAGACCAGTGAAGAAGCGGGTATATATGGTACGGAAGACCTCCTGAAGATCTCGCTTGACAGCGATGACTTGAAATCCTTTCTAAGGAAATGGGAGAGTGTGTTGACCGGAATGAGTCATGTTCCTGACCCGGCAACCCTAAAAGACTTGTTCTATAGAGAGGTCAGGAAGTCCCGTAAACTCAGATTTGACCTGGATGTTTACGAACGGGCAGCGGAAGGGAGTAGTGACAGAAGTTATGAATTCCTCATTAATTCTGTTCGACGATACCTTGACCGTGAAAGGCTAAGGACCAATCGTGAGAAGATCTCACAATCGCATGCTGCCAAGTACGCGAATCCGGCGCCACACGACAAGCGCACGCGAAGCCCAAGTTATGGCAAGAGGAGCACAAAGGGTGACGGGAGCAATCAATGCTATGAGTTCGCTAAAACCGGCAAATGCAAGTACGGAAGCAAATGCAAGTACTCGCACGACTCTAATACCCGTTCCCGCTCCCTTAGCCGGGAGTCATCACGATCGCGAAGCGCAAGTTCGAGTGGTCGATCCTCTTTTAGGTCAAGCCGTTCACGAAGCTCGTCAAGAATGTCCTCCCGCAATAGTTCGAGGAACTCATCCAGAAGCTCAAGCAGAGGCAAGAAATCTGAGAAACCATGTAGGTTCTTTGCCAAGGGCCACTGCAAGAGGGGTGAAAAGTGTCCATTTAAACATGGTGAAACCGCGACACCGGCCCCGCGCAGAAGAAGTCCATCTCCCGCGGCTAAAAGGTCTAAAGACAAGAAATCCAAGAAGGACAAAAAGGACAAGAAGAGAGCAAACGGGAAAAGAAAGAGAAAAGCCCAAAGGCCAGTCCATGTATTCAAACAGGTTTCGCAATGTCTTGCTTAGCAGCAACCGCTACTCGGAACCACAAGAGTAAAGACTACTGGGAATTCTCCAATGACGGCACCGAGTTGATAAGGCACCTTTTAAAGCCAAGGAACAGGTTGTTTCTCCCAACACGTAAATCCTGTCCAGTGGAGTCGTCTAGGTTGGAAAACCGGTTTACCATGGTGGTCAAAGACTCAAAGGGGAAGAGTAGGACTCTGAAGGGAGATTGGAAGAAACACCCAAACGCGAAACAAGGGTTTGACTGGACTGGGAAGTCGATTTTCCGTGTTGTGCAAGACAAGCGAATTCGTTTTGAATTCAAGCCTGAGGTACATACCTTTCCGGTTTGGAAGGAAATGTACCGGCATGTAGTAAATAAGAGCAAACGGCGGAACCTGTTCCGGACCACTGAGGAATGTCCAAAGTCCCGCGAGTGTGACACTAAGGACGCCATTTTGGCAGCGGAGTCGCTTAGGCAGACGCTCGATTCGATGGATACCGAGGAGCCTGCGTGCGATTTCCTTTGTGAACATTCCCCAGAAGGCCCCGATGATTTGTGCTGCACAAAGTGTAGAACGGTCATCGGTGAACAGGTACCTTCCTGTGCTCGCTTAACAGCGATGCCTAGCACTGTTGGAATGGAGAAGTGGCTGGGCGATACCGGGACTGATCAGGACATCGTAGGCAAGGACTCAAAGACAGTCAGCCGAGCCACTAAGATCTTCAAATCCAATGAGCCAATATCCCTCACTACCGCTAATGGACCAATTACAGCTGAAGATGTAGTTGAGGTGATACTCCCGGGGTTATGTGAATCCTTCAATCCCTATATTCTTCAAAGCACTCCCTCTGCACTCTCAATCGGTTTGAGATGCTTAGAACAGGGATATGATTTTGTTTGGGGAAAGGACACTACCCCAATATTCCTCCGACCTGATGGGAAATGCGTGAAATTTAAATTGCAGGGCAGGGTTCCATACATTGATGAGACTTGCACCCCATTCTCAATCCCCGAGTCACTCAGGATGAGACTCACTAAGGTGCTCGACTCCATCCACCAGTTCACCATCGACCAGGGCTTTGCCATGGCCAGCCGCGAGTCTGAACCCGAGAATGAACAGGAAGACGAAGAAGAGGCTGGCGTAGCTGCCAATGCCGATGAGGGACAGGAGGATGAAGAAGAGAGTGACCCAGAGGTTGAAGTCTCTTTTGATTTTGAAGATGTTCCCGTAGCAGGGGAAAAGACCGAAGAGCAACTTCGCAAAGAAGCAAAATCAGGGGCGCACCAGAATTACTCATCGACCAAAGAACCCCTACTGCGATATTTGTAGCGAAGCTAAGATGCTTGCACCCTACGGTAGAAGCGTAGGCGGATCACAACATGTGTTGGCCCGTGGTTTTGGAGACCACATTGTTTGTGACCACGTGATCCCCAAGGACATTGAAGAGGGGATAGAAGGCCAAACCTCGATGTTGGTGATCAAGGATGTGTATACTCAATACCGCTGTGTTTATCCTTCAGAGAACAAAACGGCCGATTCCATTGTGAGGGCCTTCAAGCAAACTTCAGACATTGTTGGTATAGTGTACACTGACAACGCTCCAGAAATGCTGGATGCCATCGAAGAGCTCGGTTTTAAACACCAAACTTCTGTTGAATATCAACATTCAACCAAGGCGGTTGTTGAGCGAGAGGTCCGTACCATTTTGGAAGGGGCGCGCTCCAACCTCCTCCAGGCCAACATGCCGTTGACATTGTGGCCTTATGCCTCCAAACATCATGCGATGGCCATCAACATTGTCAAACAATTGAATGGTAATGACCCGCCATGGACACTTCGTTTTGACAACGGTTTTCTTGGTAGGCAACTTCCCTTTGGATGCCTCCTATTCTTTTGGGAAGGAAAGTACGAACCAAAGAGAGGAAAGTTTGCCCCCAATGCCAAGAGGGGTGTGTTCTTAGGGTACAACATTCAGGCCGGGCATGTTTGGAGGGGAGAGTACTTGGTTGCTAATGTTGATAGTTTGGAATACTTCTTAAAAGAAGGACACCTCAAAACAATTAGAACCAAACGAGTGGCTCTTCCCAATGGAGATTTTATCTTTCCCCTTCATTTCAAGGAAAAGCCGATACTTGACCTCCAAGACCTGGACTATCAGCCTGAGGGAGACGATGAAGACGATGACGATGATGCTCCTCAAGACGGCGATCCTCCAGATCCACGGTGAGGGGCGCCAGAACTTGAAGAAAATGTTCCTGAAGTTGTTGTAGAGGAACCAGCCAGCGTAGAAGCTGAGCCGCCAGAAAAGAAAGGGAAAGAAAAGAAAGAAAGGGAACC